TTTCAACCATTTAAATGCACAGAAAAGTTCAGAGGGGAATACAATGTCAGATTTTGTATTGATACAATTTAATGTGTTATCACTGTGCTTCATCTAATAGCAGAACCAAATGACCTGGATTGCAGTTGAGATCACTTTAGTACATGGTGCAAGTGATGAATGCTGTTTGAGATTCTGCACAGATTATTATAGCAATTGAGAAGATCTCCACAGACCTATGACCCCTGTGATCTTGAACATGCACGCTGTGTTTGGTTGTCAACGCAACGAAATATCAACGTTTGAAGGGGATGTTTATGACTCTGACCTATTCTGGCTCTAATTCCAGTTTGTCTACAAATTAATAATTTATATGTTGGATTCACGTCTCCATCTCAACCAAAAATCTAAGTTAAAGAATAGGACTAAATCAAATCAAACTTTAAATGCACTCTAAAGTTTGATTTGATTTAGTCCTTTTCTTTAACTTAGATTTTTGGTTGAGATGGAAACGTGAATCCAACATATTAATTATTAACCTGAAGATTACATTTGAAATCAACCGAAGCTTGAAACCCTGGGCCTATATGTATTGTCTATTAGTTGAACCCTGGGTTGAATTGAAACAGTAGCTGTTGATGACTTCGCAAGTGCTTTATAGGCCTAAATAGCATACAGTGAGGGAAAAAATATTTGATCCCCTGCTGATTTTGTACGTTTGCCCACTGACAAAGACATGATCAGTCTATAATTTTTAATGGTAGGTTTATTTGAACAGTGAGAGACAGAATAACAACAACAAAATCCAGAAAAACGCATGTCAAAAATGTTATAAATTGATTTGCATTTTAATGAGGTAAATAAGTATTTGACCCCTCTGCAAAACATGATTTAGTACTTGGTGGCAAAACCCTTGTTGGCAATCAGAGGTCAGACGTTTCTTGTAGTTGGCCACCAGGTTTGCACACATCTCAGGAGGGATTTTGTCCCAATCCTCTTTGCAGATTTTCTCCAAGTCATTAAGGTTTTGAACCTGACGTTTGGCAACTCGAACCTTCAGCTCCCTCCACAGATTTTCTATGGGATTAAGGTCTGGAGACTGGCTAGGCCACTCCAGGACCTTAATGTGCTTCTTCTTGAGCCACTCCTTTGTTGCCTTGGCCGTGTGTTTTGGGTCATTGTCATGCTGGAATACCCATCCACGACCCATGTTCAATGCCCTGGCTGAGGGAAGGAGGTTCTCACCCAAGATTTGACGGTACATGGCCCCGTCCATCGTCCCTTTGATGCGGTGAAGTTGTCCTGTCCCCTTAGCAGAAAAACACCCCCAAAGCATAATGTTTCCACCTCCATGTTTGACGGTGGGGATGGTGTTCTTAGGGTCATAGGCAGCCTTCCTCCTCCTCCAAACACGGCGAGTTGAGTTGATGCCAAAGAGCTCGATTTTGATCTCATCTGACCACAACACTTTCACCCAGTTCTCCTCTGAATCATTCAGATGTTCATTGGCAAACTTCAGACTGGTCTGTATATGTGCTTTCTTGAGCAGGGGGACCTTGCGGGCGCTGCAGGATTTCAGTCCTTCACGGCGTAGTGTGTTACCAATTGTTTTCTTGGTGACTGTGGTCCCAGCTGCCTTGAGATCATTGACAAGATCCTCCCGTGTAGTTATGGGCTGATTCCACTGTTCTCATGATCATTGCAACTCCACGAGGTGAGATCTTGCATGGAGCCCCAGGCCGAGGGAGATGGACAGTTATTTTGTGTTTCTTCCATTTGCGAATAAGAGAGTGCTCCTAATCTCAGCTCATTACCTGTATAAAAGACACCTGGGAGCTGGAAATCTTTCTGATTGAGAGGGGGTCAAATACTTATTTCCCTCATTAAAATGAAAAATCAATTTATAACATTTTTGACATGCGTTTTTCTGGATTTTTTTGTTGTTATTCTGTCTCTCACTGTTGAAATAAACCTACCATTAAAATTATAGACTGATCATGTCTTTGTCAGTGGACAAACTTACAAAATCAGCAGGGGATCAAATACTTTTTTTCCCTCACTGTAATAATTAAATATCACTTATAGGGTTACATTTTATTTCCTCTGTAAAACCTACCCTTTGGAATGATTTTGATAGCAACAGTGAATCTATTCAGTTATTAAGAGATCTCCCAACAATCATTCTCATGATAGCACATTGGTAGTAGTAGTCAGTGACAACTATCAAAGCTAAGCTGGGCTCAGCTTGGTTCAAATCCTGGATGGTAGACCAAAACTAGATAGCTGAGTAGATACTGTAGATCAACTCTCCAGTAGGAGGTGCTGCCATTTGTTGTTTTTTAAGATCTGACATTATTTCAACGGTAGAAATTCAACATATTTTATACAAGGTTTGTCTATATTGAAAATTGGTTACCATGACATAATATTGTGGTTGAAATGTTACCCTCAAAACAGTTTACATTGATTACTTTTTTCAAATCCAATGTATTTTCCACGTAGATTCCACGTCACAATACGTTGAGAAATTACGTTGAAACAACCTTAATTCAACCAGTTTGTGCCCAGTGGTAAGGACTAAAGTGGCTGATATCTGGTAGTAACCATTGATCAATACTACCCAATTCAGATTGCACTTCCTTGTGGTGTTGCTAGATGGCGCACGTGACTTCTAAAATCCTTGAACACTGACAATCTCCACTGCTAAAAGTGAAATGAGCCATCACTCTCAAACTTCACTTTTCATCTTCAGAACAGGCTCATGTCAAATTTTCGAAAATGATGACATATTGTCAAGAACATCATAATATGATGGTGGGAGTAAAATAGCTTTCTTTATTGATCCACAAATAGAAATATTACATTTTCATTCAAGGTATACAGGCCACTTATGGCAGCAAACAGCCGGAGAGTTGTTGATATAATCATTATAACTTACCCAAAGCTACTGCTAATATTATTCAAGGGCAATTCACGGCCATATTTTCTTGTATATGTGATTTGTGAGAAATTGTATTTTATCGAACTGGTATTCCCTTCAGGCCTAAAGGTTATACACTACATGACCAAAAGTATGTGGACACTTGCTTGTCGAACATCTCATTCCAAAATCATGGGCATTAATATGGAGTTGGTTCCCCCTTTGTTGCTATAACAGTCTGCACTCATCTGGGAAGGCTTTCCACTAGATGTTGGAACATTGCTGTGGGGACTTGCTTCCATTCAGCCACAAGAGCATTAGTGAGGTCTGGCACTGACGTTGGGCGATTAGGCCTGGCTCACAATCGGTGTTCCAATTCATCCCAAAGGTGTTCGATGGGGTTGAAGTCAGGGCTCTGTGCAGGCCAGTCAAGTTCTTCCACACCGATCTCGACAAACCATTTCTGTATGGACCTCGCTTTGTGCACGGGGGCATTGTCATGCTGAAACAGGAAAGGGCCTTCCCCCAACTGTTGCCACAAAGTTTGAAGCACAGAGTCGTCTAGAATGTCATTGTATGTTGTAGCGTTAAGATTTCCATTCACTGGAACTAAGGGGCCTAGCCCGAAACAGAAAAAATAGCCTCAGACCATTATTCCTCCTCCACCAAACTTTACAGTTGACACTATGCATTGGGACAGGTAGTGTTCTCCTGGCACTACCTGCCCCAATGCATAGATTCATCAGTTGGACTGGAAGCTTGATTCATCACCAGAGAACGCGTTTACACTGCTCCAGAGTCCAATGGCGGCAAGCTTTACACAACTCCAGCCGGCGCTTGGCATTGCGCATGGTGATCTTAGGCTTGTGTGGGGCTGCTGGCCATGGAGAACACATTTCATGAAGCTCCCGACAAACAGTTATTGTGCTGACATTGCTTCCAGAGGCAGTTTGGAACTCGGTAGTGAGTGTTGCAACCGAGGACAGATGATTTTTACGCACTAGGTGCTTCAGCACTCAGCGGTCCTGTTCTGTGAGCTTTCGCGGCTGAGTGGTTGCTCATAGCTGTTTCCACTTCACAATAACAGCACTTACACTTTACCGGGGCAGCTCTAGCAGGGCAGAAATTTGATGACCTGACTTGTTGGAAAGGTGGCATCCTATGATGGTGCCACTTTGAAAGTCACTGAGCTCTTTAGTAAGGCTATGCTACTGCCAATGTTTGTCTATGGAGATTGCATGGCCGTGTGCTCGATTGTATATACCTGTCAGCAACGGGTGTGGCTGAAATAGTTGAATCCACTACCTTGAAGGGGTGTCCACATACTTTTGTATATCTAGTGTATTTTCTCATAATTTCACACATTCAGTGAAGTTTCCCTCTCCTTTCCTGTCTAGTATCTCTCCGCGCACAACTGGACTGATACACCTGGCCAACTCTTGTTCAAAACGTATGTAATTTAGTAGACACTCTTATCTAGAGCAATTAGGTCTAAGTGCCTTGCTCATGGGAACATCGACAAATTGCTCACCTAGTCGGCTCGAGGAATCGAACCAGCAATCTTTCGGTTACTGGCCAAGCGCTCTTCACAGCTAGGCTACCTGCCGCCGTTGTCTTATTTTACATTTGAGTCATTTAGCAGACGCTCTTATCCAGAGCGACTTACAGTTAGTGAGTGCATACATTTTTTTTTCATACTTTCTTATGGATGTAGCCAGAAGCAAAAGCCTTTGTGTGATGGCATTAGGCAAAAGTGTCTGTATAAATTAAGCCCCACTTCACAGTCTATGACACTTGTAGGCAAGTGTTGGTGCGTAAAATTCTAAACTTTTACGCAACATAAGCCTAAATTGTGACCCATTCCTGGCGCAACAAGTGCATGTGTGTGTGATTTACATATGTTTGAATATGCATGAGTTTTGCGCGCGCAAGAATACATCAGTGATTTTCGTCAGACAATTACGCACGAGTCAATATCAAATTTGACTTTTACACTAACATATTAGTATAATAGGATAGCCATTTTCTCTTATAAATTGTAGGTCTATAATATATTATTCTCAAGTTTATCTAAAGTTCAAAACAAATGTAGCCTAAGGTAATTGTTTGGTGATCAGGTTTCTGAAGATTAGGCTTAAATCATAGATGAGCGCACAAGCGTATGTTTTTCAATATCTTTACAAATTTATTTGTCTTCCAAAACGAAGAATTACGTAAAGTGCATTCAACATATCTTTGGTATCGCACAGTAATAAAAGACACCTCGAATATAAAAATGCAGTGAACAGACTTCAACAATACAAATCTCATTTCAATATGAACTTCACTCCCTTATAGGCTATACAAATATAGTGCATCATCTTTTCATCTTAACGCATTGAAAATAAAAAAACAAAATACAAACATAATTTTTGTAACATCGAACAAAGAAGAACTAAGTGTCATCATAAAAGTATTTTCGATAGGTCCTTTTTTTCTTTTTCTACCAGGGTCGCCACACTGAGTCCGAGTTGCCTGTCGGTGCACCGGGGGACACCGCCGCTGGTACAGGCGTGTTGATCTGGTTCGCGTACACGGGGATAACGGGACCGTTGGGCGCAAAAGCTGCGTTGGGGATGAGGAAGGCGAATTGTCCATCTGTGGCAGGTACGAGGTGGAAACCGCCGTATACTTTTGTTGTTTCTGGTGACATGCTCCGGGGAGAGCCACCTTTACAAGGCAGGGGCATGACGTTGCCTTGCGGAGATGAGTTGGGGATATGTACCATGGACTGGCCGAATGAGCGGTGGGGAGGCCCGGTAGGGATCTGGTGCTGCGTGGGGTAGTTCATAGCGTTGATATGCGTCATGCAGCTGGCCAAGTGACCGAGAAGCCGCGTCCTGACCTCCGTGTTAACCCCTTCGCAGGTGGACAGGAACCGGGTGACTTCATTTGTGCACTCACTGAACCCAGCTCTGTATTTCCCGAGCACGGTGGGATCAGTGTTCAAAGCAGCTGTGGAAGAAAGAAAATGATAAGCCACTGAGAATAACAACAGTATAATTAAGTTTCAAACATGAACATTGATCAAACTAAACATATACATTCCGAAGCTCACCAATGGATAAGATAAATTAGCTATTTAGTTAGTCCATACAATTAGCTACATTTAGAGAGACTTCTTGGGAGAGAGGATGTGGGCCAAGTATGTAAACTGAGTACTGCATTCGAACATGATCTAAACCACAGACGGAAGTCTGGAAGAAATCATCCCGGGTATTCACCCACCAAAACAGCTACAGTGACTTACCAGTCATTTGAGCCCTCTGGAGGTTCCGGAGATGTTTCACGGTCATCTCCAGGATGTCCGCCTTTTCAAGTTTCGAGTGTCTGGAGCTCTGTAATATGAGGAGGCACATTGTTAGGATTGAAGATAAACTTTAATACGAAAGTATTCTATGTTTTTAATAAAGTAAATCTATAACTGTGATTGCAATCATTCATTTGTAGTGAGAGAAAAAATATAATACTTACATCTTTTTTGAGCGCATCCAGGATAAGTGTTTTCAACTGTCCCAAGCTTTCGTTGATTCTGGCTCTTCTCCTTTTCTCCATGATAGGTTTGGATGACTAAAGAAAATACATATAAGAAATTGTTAGAATGGTGGGACTTGCTCAAGGTGAATGAAAGGTTTATGTTTTGCTATAAAAGCCCGTGCGTAATTTTGAAGTGACAGAATAACGGCATTTCTAAGATGCTTTGACCGACTACTAACCTTCCTGTGCTCGGAAGCCGTCTTGGGTTTATCAGGTGTAGTGTTCATGCTGGCTGGAGTAGCAGCAACAGGAGAGACCGAGGTCTTTTCCATTATATCGGCAGGCATCTTCTGTCTGTCTGAAATATCCCACAAGCGCAACGGCAACTCAGTATTACAGTCCACTGTTGGGGGTTATTGACAAGCAGTCACAGTACCCTCTTATGAAATTCCAAATTCCGGAGGAACAATATCCTTTCTGGGTGGTAGTGCACCTATGCGCGAGAGACAAGCGTCCCCAAGTCGGCGGCAAGCTGAACGATGTCACTGAATCGAGAAATCACTGTCTGCCAGCGGACGCTGCGTCTGTCTAATGGCACTTCTTGTTGGTCTTATTTATATCTGGGACTGCACGCGAACGCCTCGTGTGAAACTTCCAAAACTTTCTTTCCCACAGTAACTTTCTACCAATCAGTGCGAGGGACACGCGGCCCGAGGGGAGGATGGCTCGTGGTCGGCGCCCTTCCATTGGTTGTTTGGCGTTTGAGCGGTCGGCCAATGGCGCGCAGCCGGGTTTAGGGCACAACCGGGACTGCCTTCAATCATGCCGTTTGCATATTAACACTTGAGCCCCTGACTACCACCCAGCGCACAGAGTGCAGGGCTGACTTGACTCAGCATGTCGTTCCCCCAACTTTCAGGCAATACGCACAGGAGTCAGGAGGGGTAAACTCCACCCAAGATAATAGAGGCTAAAGCGCCTAAGCGCAGGCCTACAATACCATGTTCCACATAGCCTACATCTAATTGTATTGTACTTCCACATACGTGTGGACTACAAACCAGTAAATGTGCATTTACACAGAAGATATAGCCTATTACAAATAGAGCATATAAAAATAAATTGCCTAGATAATTTATGCAATGGTTGAAGAGACTTATGTAGTGTTCTTAATTACAGTGTAGCCTAATTAGGCTTGTTAGGCTCTAGTGTAATAACCTAGTAATGTTACATTTTATATCATGTAAAGAACCTTTGGAAAAATAACCTGGTTTCTCCTTTTAGATTGCCTTGTGTTGCAGTAGCCTAAGGCTGAGAACTACACCCTCGATCAAGTTTGCGCTTTGTGAGTTAAAAAATCAACTCAACTCTAACCAGCCAAGATTGGTGCAATAATTATTTAATGCACGCCCGCCGCTGTACAAATTTGGCATTTTGACATCTGTCGGCATGCGAGCGTTATTGTGAATGTGGAGCACGTGCCAGGATGTTTTATGAGCCCGGTGGTTGAGGTTTGGAGGCCGGTCTAGGGGTGGCGGTGGTGGTTTACATTAGAGGGAAGGTAAATAGCAGCTGCTGTTTTAAAAGCCTGGGAAAAACACGCCTACCGAGAGCTCGATCGGGCTTATCGGAATGCGAGCCAGAGCAGAGATATTTCTGAGTGAGAGCACAAGATTAGAGCGATGCATTGCCTGCCTTGCCTTTGGTGGGGCAGCAGTTAGTAGGCAAGGCATTGAATTTCAGGTAATAATTTAATTTCCTTATCCTTATCAGAGAGTCAGACCCAAGCTTGAGCTGTAAATGTAGCCGAATGGTTAGAATTGCCCCCCACACAGATAATATTAACACATACGTTTCAGAAATTCACAAACATTATTTAGCTTGTTTAAATTGCCTATAGACTGTCCTATATACTTGAAGTGAATAGCCACTTCAATTCAGAAAATGTGAGTGCGTAAAGCCGAATAGCATCCTGAAGTTTTGTAAATAAAAGTTTAAAAGTCCATAATGTCTAATCTTAATCCATAAATCCATAATTTCTGTGCCCCATACAATAATAATAGCATACAACCGTTATTCCGTGAATGACAAAACGGAGGGGGCCGGTGTGTGTGTGTGTGTGCTCTGCGTTCTCTGTCAGCCCGGGAGTTCGCGCTCGCTCCCCAGCAGGCTCCCTGGTTGTCTGGTATGCGGGCGTGATCTCCAGCTGCTGTAGAACCCCGCGACACGTGGCGCGCAAGCGGCGGGGGAAGGCGCTGCTCTTGCTGGCTTGCTGCCTACAACTGCGGGACGTTGCTCGCGGCTTCCCGCAAGATCATGAAGATCAGAGAGCGCTGCTTATAGGAGCACTCGAGCTGTAAACTTTCAGTGGCACCTAAATCAAATGATGCGCGTAAAATGTGATACTTTTGAAAATTTAATATATAGGGTATCCAATTTAGGCTATTATGTTTTGTGCATAATTGCGCAAACATTCGTTTTTGGTAAGGCCCCAAGGGGTCTAAATATTATGGTATAAAATCAGTAAGCATAGAAATAATAACATGTATTATCATTTAACATATATTTGTATAATATCCATAAGTTCTTCATGTCAATTTAGGCTACTTTCAACACCAATACAGGAGTGTAGCTCAGTAACAGCACTCCATTAGTCTTGGACGCACACCTGAGTAATATCGCCACATACAACTGACAGAGTTCCTAAACAAATGTATTGATGTTAAAGAACACAAAGTATAGGTTCTGAAACCCTCTCCGCCTGAATGACTTTCTCACGCTCTTGTTCCAAGAGGTCTCGAGCGCTGAATTGAGTCACGGAGCTCCTTTTCCCGGGAGTTCAGGGCTTTTATCCGCTGCACCTGGCCGCCTCTAGGAGTGTTACCTGCTGCAATGTGTCAACTCCACTTTCACTAAATAGCTCTGGAAAACCGTTCGAGTCACAGCCCAAATGGATGCTATTGTAAAAGCGTTGTTCTCACACGGTCATTGACGGGATGTCTTTGGCTATCAATGATTTGAAAATGTAAACATTGAGTAAAAGGAAAATAAGGGCTATGTTGATTTGAAATGTGTAATGTAAAAATTAAATAAAAACTGTTATTACTACTTTGTTGACATGTTAGAGTCACTCAAACAGCCACACCCTGCTTCCCTCTCTCTCTCTTTACCTGCCCCCCCCCCCCTTCTCACCTCCCCCTCTCCCCCCAATCTCTCCCGTGTCCCTCCACTCTCCCCTGTAAATCCCCTTTCTCCTCCCCCTCTCTTCCTTTTCTCTCATCCACCGCTCCCTCCCTCCCTCCCCTTGCCCATTATCTTTATTGAGGCCTCTCGACCATGGAACTCCACACTACAATAATGCAATCAGAGGGGCCGATTGCGGGGCTAAAGTGCGTGTGAAAGTGATAGATATAGCGCTCACAAACAATCTGGCACTTTATCACAGACAGCTCGTGCTTTAATGCGTAAGCCATTGGTGAGCAACGGTAGTGGCTTCCAACAAGCCCTGGTAATAGTGGAGAGGCAGGGGTGAGGTGCCCATGCCAGGGCTGGCTGGAAGGGGAAGAGGTAGACAGGAGGGGGAGGTACTGGCATGGACAGACAAGTGGGTGCTACACATTGGTGGTGAATGTGAATTAAGTAAAACCACAAGTCCAAATCCCTATCTCCATCCATGGCTAATTTAGGAAAGGACCAATTTTAGCTAGCCAGCTAGCCACCGGAGGATAACAACACAACGAGATGCAACAATTCAAGTTATTTCTGTCAATAACGTATTTCTCTTGATAGGAGTGAAGCCATATCCAAACTGGCTTCCCTTTACACTTTTTTCTATCTTGGTAAATTTTTTGGGGAAGCCTAACTTTTAATTAACTTTGCATCCATGAATACACGCCACTGGTGGTTGCCAAGGTTCTGTGAGGTCGCCTAGGCAGAGCGCTCCTGTAGGCTACATTTGTAAATGTTGTATCGTGTTAACTGTTTTTAAATAGCATTTTATTCTATGAACTTCATTTGTTTTTGATAACTTGTGGGTTGACGTAAAAATATTTGCTGGTAACCAATGGAGTTGCAGGTCTGGTGATGGCAGGACTGTTTATGTGGTAAGATAGCTATTTGAATGATGCATCAACACAGCATTAGCTTTTTATTCCACCTGCCCAAGAGCCTGAAAGCCAGTGGTGTAAAGTACTTAAGTAAAAATACTTTAAAGTACTACATAAGTAGTTTTGGGGGGGATCTGGGTACTTTCCTTTACTATTTATATTTTTGACAACTTTTACTTTTAGTTCACTACATTCCTAAAGAAAATATTGTACTTTTTAGTCCATACATTTTCCCTGACAACCAAAAGTACTCGTTACATTTTGAATGCTTAGCAGGACAGGAACATGGTTAAATTCACGTACTTATCAAGAGAACATGTGGTCATCCCTACTGCCTCTGATCTGGCAGACTCACTAAACACAAATACATCTTTTGTAAATAATGTGTTGGAGTGTGCCCCTGGCAAGCCTTCAATTAAAAAAAACAAGAAAATAGTGCCGTCTGCTTTGCTTAATATAAGGAATTTTAAATGATTTATACATTTACTTTTAATACTTAAGTATATTTTAGCAATTACAAAACAAAGTACTTTTAGACTTTTACTCAAGTGGTATTTTACTTGAGTGACTTTCTATTTTACTCAATTTTACTATGACATTTGGGTACTTTTTCCACCACTGCTGAAAGCATAGTCGTATATACATACATATACATATATATACACACACACATACACACACAGTGAATTAGTCATTACTATTACTGTATTATTACTGTATTATTATTGTATTATTACTGTATTATTACTGTATTATTATTATATTATTGCTGTATTAGCGGATAAAAATGATACATGATGTTCATGTTTGTTTTTTACAGCAAATTTGAGATTATGTTTGAATGAAAAGTACTATATAAGATATATCTATTATAATAATAATAATAATAATAATAATAATAATAATAATAATAATAATTGAGTAAGGGCCTGAGCTGAGGGCCTGAAGGGGCCAGGGAGCAGGGAAAACTGTAAACAGGGATTCATACTCACACAGATCAGTGCAGGACGCCGTCAACCTGGCAGACATGGCATTAGCATGGCGTATGGCTGGTAAAGAGAGAGAAGAGGTTTTGTTGAAAGCACTGTGCACCTGCAGGGCTGTGTGGACGGGAGCCTCTCCTGCAGGACTATGTAGACTGGACCCTCTCCTACAGGACTGTGTAGACTGGACCCTCTCCTGCAGGACTGTGTACACTGGACCCTCTCCTGCAGGACTGTGCAGACTGGACCCTCTCCTGGAGGACTGTATAGAATGGACCCTCTCCTGGAGGACTGTATAGAATGGACCCTCTCCTGGAGGACTGTGTAGACTGGACCCTCTCCTGCAGGACTGTATAGAATGGACCCTCTCCTGGAGGACTGTGTAGACTAGACCCTCTCCTGGAGGACTGTATAGAATGGACCCTCTCCTGGAGGACTGTGTAGACTGGACCCTCTCCTGCAGGACTGTGTGGACTGGACCCTCTCCTGGAGGACTG